AAATTTTGGTCGCCATTTAAATCATCAGAGACCAAAAATTATTTGGTCGCTCATTAATTGTCGCTAATCATATTTTTCCTTGAGATGGATGGTCGTATGATGTGCATCCCTCCCATTTATCTGGATGGGAGTTATGCCCATCACCTGTTGGATGGGATGTGCATCCCTCCCATTTATCTGATGAATGGTATGATGTGCATCCCTCCCATTTATCTGATGGATGGTCTGATGTGCATGCCCCCCCTTTATCTACTGGATGGGAATGATATTTTTATTTCAATAGGTAGGAAGGGGAGGGGGAATATTAAGTTGGATTTTGCACGGATTCAAATCGTTTTTACCCCTAATTCTTCAGACTCAAATCTTAAGTTCGCAACTTTATTAAGAATTATTTAAGTTTAATTTTTTCCATGGATATTCTTCATTTAATCTTTATAAATAACTTCTTAATTTAATTTTTTCAACAATTTAACCTAAAAAAAATTAAAATTCTATAAATATAATAATTTTATTTGAGAAATAGGTGGGTATTTATAGAGTTTTGAGGTTGGATATGATCTAGATTAATTTAAAATATTATTTTAACCGTTGAATTTAAATTTTAGCCGTTGGATCTATTTATTACCGTTAAAATAGCTTGGATTTAATATGGATCATTGATTTGAATTATTGTTGGAATAAAAAAGAACAAGAAAAAAAAAGTGTTGATGCAGCAGTGTGCGACAACTTCTGCAACACTAGTGGCACATGCCCCATTATTTCCTCTTTTCACATGGGCGGCATCATGGTATTCTGCCCCAACTTTGAGTTTTCCCAAATTTTAGCTCCTTACTTTTCTTGGGTTGAGAGAGGAATTTGGTTAAAATTTAGGGTTTTTTGGGTTTGGCATGATGGATTGGAGATGCCCTAAGGAGGCTCAAAACCAAGATGCCATTTGGAGAGGGAAAGGAGGAGGGGAGGACCGCATACCACTATGGTTGTGCCCTAAAAACCAAGCATGGGATGAAATCTCCTAATAATAAAGGGCAATTTATATTGTTCTCTTTTACATTTCATTTTTTTGCCAAACTTCGGAAGAAGAGGGGAATGGTGTGGTGATGTGCGGTGCACACGCACTTGAACACATGATCGCATGGTCACATGGTTGGGTAAAGGCAATGCCAACCACTAAGCTACTTTTTCTTTAAAGTACAAAGTCAGAGATTACAAAATATGAGAAAAAATAATCTAATATAGATTATATTTGAGAAATATTTTATCTTTATCGATCGTATCCCAAAAGTTTCTAATTGTATGGTTATCAAATGGGTATATAAGACAAATTAAAAAAAGGTATTGATAAACTGATAAAATTAGCATCATAATATTTCAATTATGATGGATGTATTATCACATGGATGGATGTATTATCACGTCTATCACATGAATGTATTATCACGTGTGTTATAATATTATTGATCAGAGATAACAAATTGATATCCCAATTTCATGGAAGTGTTTCTCCTCCTAGTGGGGCAGCACTTTTTTCAACAATTTAACCTAAAAAAAATTAAAATTCTATAAATATAATAATTTTATTTGAGAAATAGGTGGGTATTTATAGAGTTTTGAGGTTGGATATGATCTAGATTAATTTAAAATATTATTTTAACCGTTGAATTTAAATTTTAGCCGTTGGATCTATTTATTACCGTTAAAATAGCTTGGATTTAATATGGATCATTGATTTGAATTATTGTTGGAATAAAAAAGAACAAGAAAAAAAAAGTGTTGATGCAGCAGTGTGCGACAACTTCTGCAACACTAGTGGCACATGCCCCATTATTTCCTCTTTTCACATGGGCGGCATCATGGTATTCTGCCCCAACTTTGAGTTTTCCCAAATTTTAGCTCCTTACTTTTCTTGGGTTGAGAGAGGAATTTGGTTAAATTTTAGGGTTTTTTGGGTTTGGCATGATGGATTGGAGATGCCCTAAGGAGGCTTAAAACCAAGATGCCATTTGGAGAGGGAAAGGAGGAGGGGAGGACCGCATACCACTATGGTTGTGCCCTAAAAACCAAGCATGGGATGAAATCTCCTAATAATAAAGGGCAATTTATATTGTTCTCTTTTACATTTTATTTTTTTGCCAAACTTCGGAAGAAGAGGGGAATGGTGTGGTGATGTGCGGTGCACACGCACTTGAACACATGATCGCATGGTCACATGGTTGGGTAAAGGCAATGCCAACCACTAAGCTACTTTTTCTTTAAAGTACAAAGTCAGAGATTACAAAATATGAGAAAAAATAATCTAATATAGATTATATTCGAGAAATATTTTATCTTTATCGATCGTATCCCAAAAGTTTCTAATTGTATGGTTATCAAATGGGTATATAAGATAAATAAAAAACAGGTATTGATAAACTGATAAAATTAGCATCATAATATTTCAATTATGATGGATGTATTATCACATGGATATGGATGGATGTATTATCACATGGATGGATGTATTATCACGTCTATCACATGAATGTATTATCACGTGTGTTATAATATTATTGATCAGAGATAACAAATTGATATCCCAATTTCATGGAAGTGTTTCTCCTCCTAGTGGGGCAGCACATTGCTTGCTCTCAAGTGTTAGGTTGAGAATGTGACCAACTTCCTTGAGTTAAATATTGGGGACGCCCATCTTTCTCTTTTCATACTATGGAGAACTTTGAGGTAGTGGAGACTAGACTAGGCAAACGGGTCGAATTTGTCGTGTTCGTGTCAACCCGTTTGAAGGGACACGACCCGCTAAGTTGATGAGTAAAAAATACTAGACATACACATGACCTATTACAACTTGCGAATGACACGACACAACTCGTTTCACCCATTAATAATTTAAAAAGAAAAAGAAGAAGAAAAGCACTAATGCACGAACATCACACAAACCCATTCATTTTTGTTTTGCACTCTTGAGGCAGCTGACATGCCCTCTCAATCTCATCCATCCTGCCTCAAAATTGTAACACACCAATTGGCCGGAAAAGAATGAGAAGAATGTGGAGAAGTTGGTTGAAAAAAGGGAGGAAGGCTGGCTTTAGTGGATGCTCCCATTGTAGTAAAAGAAGGAAGAAATGGAGATAGTAAAATTCTCGAATGGAGTGACAAAGATGCTCTCTTTTAGTTAAACTAACCAACTTAGGCCAATGAAGTATATCTCAGTTGATTGAGCTCTTTCACCTCTATCCATATGGGCAGAGGTTTGAAACTCTAAGGCACCCAATGAATATTTGTGTAAACCCACTCCTCTAATCGCTTGTACTATAATAAATAAGCCCATTTGAGCATAACATATTATACAAAAACCCATATAAAGCCTATTTGGAGAGAAAAACTCAAAACTAGCAACTAGTCATTTTATAATTGGTTCTAAGTGTGTTAAAATTTTGTAAGAACCAATTAGAAAATAATAAGTGGCTAATTTTCTATTTTTCTCCCCAAATATGTCATATTGGAATGAACCTCTTTATAGAAAGTCAAAAATCAATGAACTGGCCTCGATTTCAGTACCCTATATATCTCTCCTCAACCAAAAATTCAACAAAAGCTCAATAATTGAGTTGAATGACCAACCTGAAAATAGAGTACACGTTAAGAGACCATTGGCCTAATAAACCATTTTATGTATTTATTTATTTTTTTAAAGATAAAAATTGAAATGACTAATTGACTTTTAAAATTAATAGAACAATTGACAAATTTGAAAGTAAATAACAAGAGTAAACCATGAGTAAAAATAGGAGGACTATATAATCGAATTGAAAGACCAAAAGTGAAATTTAGGTACAAATTAAGGGCCTAAACCTCACTTGATTTGATCTACCTATTTTATCTTTTTCAGTTCTAAAATTTTAAAAACTAAAATGTAAAAAGAAAAAGAAAAAGAAAAAAACCAATTCTCACACTTATAAGCGTCTGTCAAGGGACTAGTATATATATATATATAAAGTTATTGGTAAGCCTTAGAGAATAATCAAACCAAAAAGAAAAAGGCCAGTACTAGAATTCGAATCCTATGTGTTACTTTAAGCAGTGGTGGTACATGAAATTCAGTAGTGAGGGCCAAACCAGCACCGTCTAGGAGAAAAAAGAGAGAAAGGGAGAGAAGAAGAGAGAAAAGGAACAAAATAACTAAGAGAGAGAGGGCAAAGAGAGAAGAAATAATTAAAAGGTGAAGGAAATTTGGGCTGACGGAGTTCTTTTAAGAAAAGTGTGGGCTTATTTGACTTAAAGTAATACATAATATGTAGGCCATGGCCTATAGTGGTCATTAGGTGGGTCCGCTAGGCCCACAGTTGAAATCCTTTCCTGCATTATGTGGCGTTTGGCCATTTGTCCTTGTTTTATTTTATTTTTTCTTAATACAAGTGATGGTCAAAAATTAGATCATACATACATTATCAAAATGTTATGGAGATTCGGATCATAAATAGTCTGCAAGTCAAAACTCTTTTCATTCGCCTAAATCCGTTAACTTGGTGTTCTACCGGCCATTATTTATGGTTTATTGGAGAAGCCCCACTAGGCTGAAAGGCGACTCTAAACCTATAGGCAGCAGAGATTTGGATAACAAGCAGCTGCCGCACATCTTGGAAAATAGGCAGTCTTTCTGACCAAGGAGATTCAGAGTTTATCTCTTTCCTCCTCGTTTGTTTTCTATTTTATTCTTGAGTGTGCAGAGTTTGGTATATTTGGAATCTTGAATTTGTGAGGTTAAACATTATTTTGTAACCTATGTTTGATGATAGGGAATTAATTTGTCATCTTCAAGCCACACAGACTATAAAGCCGAACCACTATAAATCTTAGTGTTTTTATTTGTTGTTTGGTTTGTTTTATAATGAAATCCAGTCTGCAAGTCAAAACTCTTTTCATTCGCCTAAATCCGTTAACTTGGTGTTCTACCGGCCATTATTTATGGTTTATTGGAGAAGCCCCACTAGGCTGAAAGGCGACTCTAAACCTATAGGCAGCAGAGATTTGGATAACAAGCAGCTGCCGCACATCTTGGAAAATAGGCAGTCTTTCTGACCAAGGAGATTCAGAGTTTATCTCTTTCCTCCTCGTTTGTTTTCTATTTTATTCTTGAGTGTGCAGAGTTTGGTATATTTGGAATCTTGAATTTGTGAGGTTAAACATTATTTTGTAACCTATGTTTGATGATAGGGAATTAATTTGTCATCTTCAAGCCACACAGACTATAAAGCCGAACCACTATAAATCTTAGTGTTTTTATTTGTTGTTTGGTTTGTTTTATAATGAAATCCTTTCGTCTTCTTTGCATCAACATGGAAAATAACTGATCACCAGAATCCAGCAATTTCTCGTTCTTCACCAGCCCAGTGCAAAACCCACACTTGTATCTGTTGTCGATAATTTTTTTTTCTTTCTAAAATCAGTTGAGCAGAAATTCTTATCTTCCAACTTCACATATTCTTGCCTCCCTCCTCCTACACTACTCTTAATCACAAGATACTTTTCATCTTCTCTCTTTTCTATTATTTTTTAAGAAACTTACCATCTGTATTGAAAAGTCTTCTCATAAATCATTGGAGAAACTTGAGTGTATAAATCAATAATGGGTCGTAAAAAACAGAGACGGATAAGACGGGTACGGCACTACTCTAGCTCTCATAAGATATTGTTGGTTGGAGAGGGAGACTTCTCTTTTTCTGCTTGTTTGGCTCGAGCTTTTCGCTCTGCCACTAACATGGTGGCTACCACCCTTGAATCTAAAGGTACATTTTACAAATATATATAATATATATATATACAGATTTTCTCCTATGCAGATATCCACAGCCACCCTTCAATGTTTTCCTCCCTGTTTATAATGGTGTCCGCATAGGGGAATATAACTGTATATATGCATTAGCAAATGACCAACCATTACCTTAACCTGTTCTCAATTTTTTGTTTTAGATTAGCTAATTAATTTGATCAATATATATATGATAAAATTTCAGATACTCTATCGACAAAACATTGGAGCAGTAAGGCACATGTGGATGAGTTGAAGAGAAGAGGATGCTTGGTGTTATATGAAGTTGATGTAGATGACATGGACCAGCATCCCAACCTTATGTGCATGAAATTTGATATTATCATCTTCAACTTTCCTCATGCAGGCCATTACTCTTGGCTATGCGAAAGAGACGATGAGCTCATACAGTAAGTCCAATCTAAACATCTATAAGCTTTGTTAGACAGTAATTACGACATTATATAGTACGTTCAGACTGAGCATGCACCGAATCTCATCACTAATTTGGGATTCAAATGGATTAGAAAGCACAGGGAATTGTTGAAAGCATTCTTCGAAAGTGCCCGTGGGATGATCGGCCAAGGTGGGGAAATTCATGTTTCACACAGGGATGACTACCCCTATGATCAATGGAAGTTGAAGGAGCTTGCTGAGAAAGCCGGCCTGGTTTTGAAAGAGAAAGTGTGGTTCGAAAAGTCGGACTACCCTGGCTACCACAACAAGAGAGGTGGAGGCATCCAGAGCAACAAAAAATTTCCTCTCAAAGAATGTTACACCTTCAAGTTTTCTCTGAAACCTGAATTCACTACTCATGAATTAATGCCTTCTTGCAGCCAAACAACCAGCGTTCTTGATGATGATATATCACATGCTTTAAAAGGTATGCATTTGAAGTAACAGCCATAAATGTATGGAAAGCAGAACAGAACATATATGTGCTGTATATATATGGATTTGTAATTAACGATTTAAGACTGAATCACAGTATACGTATGCAAAACAAAGATATAGATGGATTGTGTTTCCTTTCATGTCACATACATTTTGGCATTTTGCTAAATACCCTCACCGAATCACATCACACGTGCCTATCTGAACAATTGTGAACCGTTAATTGATTCACGTATAAATTCTATTGCTTAAAACTATTTGAACATGTAATATATATAAGCATACAGTCATTACCATAAACACATTATATTTGCATGTGGGCATGATGTTATGTGCCCATGTGGCATAAGTAATATATTGATATCAAATATTCATGGGTTGGGTTTAAAAATTTTGGCTCACCAATATTTCACTAATAATACATATTGTTCATAGCATAATGGAGTGATTAGCAATAATTAACTTATGTGGTTAATTATAATTATCCTTGAAAAGGCCAAGAATGAGAAGTAAAAAGAAGACAAAGGGCTCGTTTGAGAAAGACTGCTAAAAGCCCTCCATAGCTTGGCCACAAAATGCACGGGAACCTCCATGAAACCATGCAAGTAAGTAATTTAGGGCAACAATTGAATTTAGAAATTAGAACACTAGAGAGAGAGACTAAAGAAAAATAAAGACTAGCATATGATAAAGGTCGAGTCTTGAGAGAGAGAGAGAGAGGAGAGAGAGAGAGCTGTTTGATTTGATAGATGTTACAATACAAAGTGAAGGTGAGGAGTGGGCACGTGGCGGGAATGGGGAACTGAGGTGGACACGTGGCGAACGATGGGGCTTCTGAAGAGTTTGATACGCAGTCCATTGCAGGGATGTTGAGACAAAGACACACACACGACACCGCTTTCTGGGTCTCGTCACGCTTTTTGCGAGAACCCCCTTGCGAAGAAACTTTTTATTTTTTTATTTTTTTTATACTATAAAATTAAAATTATTAAAGTTTAATCAGATGTTTAGCCAATATTGTTCAACTCATTTTCATTTTGGCCCCGGAAGTAGTTTTATGAATGTAATGTTAGCTTTGTCTCATTAATAATAATAACAATGAAGCTCAAATTGAAAATTCTACTAAAATTAGTAGATGAAATTCTACATACCAATATTTGCAACTACCATAAATGAGAACTATGTTATCTCTTCAAAACATTTGCAATTATATTGACATATGTGCACACTCAACTACCATAAATAGTATCAATCAATCGGATAAACAATGGTGTAGTGTTGGCCAAGGGCCCTTTGATGCTTAAGTCAGAAAAAATATCTCAGGGAGATGTGTGTTTTCATGAAAGCAGGCTTCTTTGACGTAATTGAATGTAATTAGTCTTCCTTGATAGCTAATTAAATGAGAATTTAATCAACATAATTCATGTGATCTAGGATAAGTTTGATATTTATTTGCATTTCCACTTGACGTCGTTGGAGTGGTCGTGAAATTATTTGCTCCCACAAATGGATCAAAACTATAATGAGAGAAACTACTAACTTTAAATAAGGACTAAAGTGAAAAATGAGTCACACAACAATGACCATAACATAATTTGACTTTTTCCAGAACAAACTGCAGCCCAAGAGGCCCAAAACATCCACAAACCCAAAGCCCAACAATGACTCCTCTCAAATGCATAGCTGCTCTTCTTTAAAGGTGTGAGCTTTTTTTCCTTTGCTTGTGAGAGAGTGCTTTGGGGTCTCATCTCATGTGAGCACGTTTGAGCAGAAATCTTTCATCAGAATCAGAAATGGGTCGTGGTAGGGAAAGACGGATCGAACACTACAGTAGCGCACAAGAGATATTGCTGGTTGGTGAAGGAGACTTTTCATTCTCCGCTTGTTTAGCTCGAGCATTTGGCTCTGCTCGCAAAGTAGTAGCAACTTCTCTCGAATCTCAAGGTACATTTTTCAAAAACGCAACTTTTATGTTCATGGGTACTCTTTAAGATGTGACCAATAAATCTTTGTTCATTTTCAGTGCTACCCCTGTTTTTTGGTGCAACCATTTTTGGGGTTTCTTTATTTTTTGTTTTTCAGTGATTAATTTGATGAAAGATTCAATTTTTAGGTTCTTTAAGGGCCAAACATAGGAGCTGTTTGTCACACTTGAGTGACTTGAAGAGGAGAGGGTGCTTGGTGTTGCATGATGTTGATGTGTATGAGATGGACCTCCATCCCGCTCTGCAATGGAGGAAATTTGATGTCATCATCTTCAACTTTCCTCATGCAGGCCATTTCCCCTGGCTACGTGAAAGAAACCCTCAGCTCATTCAGTAAGTGACCCTAAATTAATTAACTAGAACAAATAATTAGTAGTTAGTTGTACACAGGTGTCAACCCTAACAGTTTGTTTTGATTGGATTGTATTTGTATGAGATTTGTGCAGCTTAAGTTTCTTAATTTCCCTTTCCAAGAATGAATGATTATGAATGCTCAACATTTTTCTACTACAAAAGTCCCTCTTTTATATTCTTTTGGAAAATCATCATCATCCAGATCTATCAACAAAACCAGTGATGAATTCATTGTTATGTATGAACTGGTGGAGATTTTGACATTTTATTGAAGAAGAGGTGGAGAATTTTATTTGATTGGTATCATATCCTAGGATGCTATATTTTCCCAATTGTCTTATCAAGTGTTTCATGGCTAATCAATGTTATTCAATGCAGTGGTGAAGCTGCAGGCCTATAATTAGTTACGTAATTATTTGCTACCATATAGTATTCTTAATTCGTTACTTAGTTTCCCTACCTAGGGGGCTAATTGATTTGGGCGTTGAATGCAAGCAGAATGCACAAGAACTTGTTGAAAGCGTTCTTTGAAAATGCCCGTGGGATGCTGAGGGAAGGCGGGGAAGTTCATGTTGCAACCAGAGATGACTACCCGTATAACAGATGGAATGTGGAGGAACTTGCAGAGGAAGCAGGCCTGGTTTTGATGGAGAAAGTGTGGTTCAAAAAATCGGACTACCCGGGTTACCAGAACAAGAGAGGGGGTGACATCAAGAGCAACAAAACGTTTCGTCTCAGAAATTGTTTCACCTTCAAATTTGCTCTGCAACAATATGAGTCTGACTATACTTGTGATGAAATGTCTGTTTGCAGCGACGACTTTATATGATTATGTGAAGTGTTTGGTAGTATAGCATCCTTTTGAAGCAGAAGGTGGTGGTGATGCATTAGGCCTATGGAGAACATCATCGATCAGATCTCTCTTTTGCTTGCTTTGAATACTTTTGGTAGTTTTAATACTTTTGGTTTTGTGCGTATGGGTTTGTAAAAGATTTGATCGTAAGCAATATGAAGTATGCAAGCTGTGGGCCTGTAAAAATACACCTATTTTGATGTTAATGCATGTAGATTGCTACTTGATTGTATTAGGTATGACAAATGTCCTTGAATTTACAATAGAGTTTTATTTTGATATTGGCTTGTCTATTTAAAATTGAGGAGGAGCTCTTCCTTAAAATCAATGGAGTTTTGACACTTGTCAAATTCAAACAACATTGACAAAGTTTCGACAAAAAAGAAGGAATTTTAAAATAATTTGATAAGTGTCAAAACAACATTGGTTGTAAGGAGGAGTTCCTCCTTGGTTTTAAAGAGCTAAATTTTTTCCTTTCATAGTCCTCATATTTTCCCTCGCCTTTCGATCCATCTTATTTAAAATTAGAAACCTTAAAAAATAAGATTAAATCAGTAAAAGTTAAAATTTTAAATTTTACCCATACCCAACCCCTCCACCTCCCCTTACCTCAGTTGCCACTCTAGTTTTTTACCAAAAAATTCCGTTAGTTTTTCAAACTTTTAACAAATAAAAATATTCTCAAACTTTTCATCTTCTTGTCTCCCTCCTCCTGCACTACTCTTCATCACAAGATACTTTTCATCTTCTCTCTTTATTTATTTTGTTGGAAACTACCATCTGTATTTGTTGACGCCAAAAAGTGGTTCTTTGACTTAGAGGGTCAACTTAGTAATTTTATGCTTTCGGTATCCTTGATGCCTCGGTAGTCTACGCGATCTGCAATATGAGCAAATGCACAGTAAGACCTAGGGCACCGGTGTGGTACCGGCCGAAGGCTCTCCGATGCTTAAGTAAGTTCGGGAATAGAAAGTTCAACTGACAGATCAATAGGTTTGTATGCCGTAAGTTCTGATTACCTCTATTTTGGGATAGTTGGCCTCCTTTTATAGGCCTTGGGAGGTATGCATTTTGTTGATAATTTCGATGTGGGACTGTGGACGCCGCTTGGGAGCGTGCCACGTGTCCCAGGAGAGGGCGTTGCCCTAATGGAGTGATCGGTAGGTAGAGTGCCGAGGGCGCCTCTGACCAAGCCCAATTTCCTCCACGTGTCCTGCTCTTATTGGCTGTTTATTCTAGGTGTAAACAGTATTGAAAGCCTTCATTTCAGCACAGTCCCTTTCCTTTAGAAACTTCAGTTTAAATCAATAATGGGTGAGAAAAACAGACAAATAGGACACTACTCTAGCTCTCAAAAGATATTGTTGGTTGGTGAGGGAGACTTCTCATTTTCTGCTTGTTTGGCTCGAGCTTTTCGCTCTGCCGCAAACATGGTGGCTACCACTCTTGAATCTGAAGGTACATTTTTCAGATATACTCTGTTTTTAATTTTCTTCTTTTGTTTCACATTAGCTAATTAATTTAATCAATGTAAATTTTTTTTTTTTTTGAATTTCAGATACTTTATGGACAGAACATTGGAGCAGTGAGGCACATTTGGAAGAGTTGGAGAGAAGAGGATGCTTGGTGTTATATGAAGTTGATGTGTATGAAATGCACCAGCATCCCACCCTTATGCGCATGAAGTTTGATATTATCATCTTCAACTTTCCTCATGCAGGCCATTACTCTTGGCTATGCGAAAGAGACGATGAGCTCATACAGTAAGTGACCAAGTTGATCAAATTTGTCACAATTGTTTTCGTATAATCGAAGCTTTCATTTCCAATTATCTTGTCATATATATTGCATGGTTAATCAATTTTGTTTAATCCAATGGCGGCTTCGTTTAAGCTCTTTATTGATTTTTCATATGCTATATATGTATTATACACATAGATATCCTGTTTTAGTGGGTCGGTTTGTACTGGATTGGAATTGAGTCTAAGCTAGTACTTATGAGCTTCGCCACTCTAACTGGGACTTCTAATATATAATATGTTGGCATGTTGTCCCAATTTAATAAGCGAGTCCCAACATTATATGTTTGCTAAATAGCGATTAGGACATTAGTATCCAGACCGAGCCACTAAACGAGGTTAGTTACTTAATTACTCTGCTCTTTAGTGATCAATTTTGGGGGGTTCTATTGAATTAGAATGCACAGGGATTTGTTGAAAGCATTCTTCAAAAGTGCCTGTGGGATGCTCAGCAAAGGTGGGGAAGTTCATGTTTCACACAGGGATGACTACCCCTACGATCAATGGAAGTTAAAGGAGCTTGCAGAGATGGCCGGCCTGGTTCTGAAAGAGAAAGTGTGGTTCGAAAAGTCGAACTACCCTGGTTACCACAACAAGAGAGGAGGAGGCATCCAGAGCAACAAAAAGTTTCCTCTCAATGAATGCTACACCTTCAAATTTTCTCTGAAACATGAAACTTCTCATGAATTAAAGCCTGCTTGCAACCAAACAACTAGCACTCTAAGTGATGATATATCAGATGCTTTAAATAGTATGCATTTGAAGTAAAAGGCATGCATGAACAATTGCGGATCTAGGATTCGCGGGTGGAGGGGGTTACAATGTAAAAGCTTCGAAATTTTTTTAGAAGAAAATAACTTTTTTTTAAAAAAAACTGAAAAATTGTACTTTCCATCCAAATTTCAATTGTACACGACGAGTTTTCTTTTAAAAACATTGCATTATAGCTTCATAAATCATTTATTTTTAAATAATTTTAGGCACTTTTGTTAATGTATCATCAAAAAGAGATATCATTTTTTTTATAAAGAATATAATTATAATGTATAGAGACTAAATTAAAATGAAACAAGCCCAACCCCCACTTTGAAAAAGAAAATTAAACAAAAAACAAAAAACAATACCTCCCATTTTCTTTTTCCAAGTTTCACTCTTTGCAACATTCACCCCAATTTTCTCTTCCGTACCTTCTCAACTTTTATAAATAAAAAAAAAAAATACTAAATATAATATAACATGTTTGCTGTTGTTGGCGTGCCTACATTCCTCTTCCCATTCCCTGCCACTTAAACTTTTGCTACTTTTAATATTATAGTTTGAGTTTTTCTATTTAAATCCCACACTTTTTTTTGTTCACCTCAATACTTAAATTATTAATTTTTAAGTTTTATTATTGTGTAAAAGGACAAAAAAGGTCATCTAACTTAGTAATTAACCCTAGTGCATATATACACACACGCCACCACTTGTGGATCGTCAATTAAGGTATATAATATGAGATTATTTCTTGGTTTGGGACTCCTCCCAGAATTATTGAGGATATTATGATCAAAGACTTTTATTCGGTCGCGATTGTGTGAGTTATGGGTAAATATTGCTCCAGGGCAGTAGTTCTCCAAGTCTTGGTCACAGGTCTCACATTTCATGCAGGAACCCACTACGACCCCAACTCCTACACGATCACCTACTTTGAATTTCTTCACATTCTTCCTAGCTTTGGTCACAACACCAACAATTTCATGCCTGGAAAATCAATTGAAAATGTTCAACACACACAGGAGTGATTTCACAGGAATAACTTATGCTACGTGCTGCAAAAAGCAGAGAGATACAACAACCAATTCCCACACATGAATGCAATTTTTTATAAGATATTTGGACATATGCAGACGTAAACAGAATAAAAAACATTTTGAAATGCAAATATTTAAAAAAAAAACACACACAAATATGCATGTTAAAATTCCATCTACCAAACAACTAATCCACCAAATTTTTACAAGGACATCATGCCTTATGCCTATAGCAAGAACATTATCGAAATCATTTGCGTTTGATTTATAACAATCAAATGAATTTACTATAACTTATAATAGTAAAATGCTTTCAATAGTAAGATTCATGACAGTCTAGACTCTTATTAAGAAAAAAACCACAATGATCCTTGTGAAGTAGGCTTCCGTAAATAACATTTTCATTCAAACTTAACAGAGACACATCATATTATCTTTCATACAGAGTGACATGAGATTAGCATGTTACCCAGGTACAATAGGGTAGTTGGTGAACCGCCATTCATTCTTGGCAGAATGCAAGTCTGAATGGCAAACCCCACAGTAAAGGACCTTTATTGTTACATCATCATCAGCATTTTCCCTGCAAATAACACAAACAACAGCTCAAGTAAATAAATAAATGTAGTACAAAAAAAACCGAGTGATCTATTAATTTTATGATTTTCATTTCAAATTTTTTTTATCAGTCTTTATATTTGCAAGTTTTAGTAAAAGAAAAGTAATCACCTGGGGAGTGATCCCCTACTTATCCCCCTGAATTTCAAAAGCATTAAAACACTGAATAACAACAGAATGGGTTTATTTTGTTAACTCTCTTTTTATCATTTTGTCAAAGTAATCTTACACAAGTTATGGGTATAGCTGCTAAGTTAAGCAAAACCCATAAACAAAACCTACCAGAAATTCTTAAATCAATTACATGGTGTATTTTCTAGCGGAAAAAAGAAAAAAAACTACATGGAGTGTAAAGAACGTTGGAGCAAAGCTTCCATCACATTGTGTTAGGGTCTAATCAACTGTTAGAAGCCAAAAAAAAAACAAAGAGGGAAACAAGTAAACAAAAAAACAAACAAAAAAGTTTATATACTATTCAGTACCAATCAAGTTTGTAGGATCAGCCTAGATCATTTTCAAAGAAAAGAAAAAAAAGCAATATAAAGAATATTACAAGAAAATAGGAAAGGTAAGTATAAACGATATACCTTCTAGAGAAACGAAATGGGGAAAGTATTCCAGAAGTGTCTCTGGCAGCCCACCCGAAAGCCTTTTGAGGGTGTTCTTCTTCTGGTGATTTTGCCATTTTCTTCCTCCCTCCCTCAAATTCTCAATTCTCAATGCTCCCTCTCTCTCTCTCTTCTCTCTCTCTCTCTCTCTCTCTCTCTGTAGAGTCACTCTCTATCAACAGAGGGTTACTGCACTATCAAGTGTAGGGAGAGGGACATGACACTCAATGCATACAACCACATATATAGAAGAAAACTGAACCGTCTACAATAAATGCTCATATTTTTGGGTTTCCCGGTTTCTATTTTTTTATCATTTAAATGGTTTAGACAAATTTGAATATTACGAACATTTTTATCATTGATCTTTTTATAATATTATATGGGGAAATATTTCTCTAAAAAAAATATTATATAGGGAAATATACCAAAGTGTAACCCATCACATTATCTTATTAGGGGTCATTTGATACCGCGGATTGTCATCTGGATTAAATATTGGGACTGTCTTGAATTGACTTGGCATGTCATAAGTTGGATAACACTTGTATTGCATTTGGTGTATGTTTAATTGACCTAGGACTAAATTTTTTTAAAATATTTTTTTTGAAAAGTAAGTATTTTTAATATTTTTTTTTACTTTTCTTCTCT